TTTTTTTTGCTCAATTTTATTCCAGTCCTCATTTAACTTAATGTACAGTTCTCTAGCCCCAAAATCACATCATTTTTTCCTTCTATCTTGCTTCATAATTGCTTCAAGTTCGTATTCTGTGCATAGCTGCTCCAACAAGCCAAGTCTCACTGAACCTCTGACCACCCAATTCCCACTCCTAGCTCCAATGTTAGTTGGTATTACTATTGGTCCTCAGTTCTTCTGCTTGTCACATAGGTCTGATCATTAACTCTGTTTCTCTCTTCATGAGTGCTGCCAGACTTGCCCAGTGCACGTCACTAATTGCTCTTGAGAAAGTGGTGATCAGCTGCCTTCTTAAACTATGGTAGTCCACATTTTGTTGGTAAAACCTCAATGCTAAGTTGGTCGTGGTTTGAAACAACTATGTGACCTGCTAAACCATTTTGGAAGGCGGACAACAGTCAGCCATTTCCCTGAGGATATTGAGTAGGACAGGTTTGGTAAGGACAGTAGATACCCTTCTGTAAAACTATTAGTGAAACTATTAGGTGTTTATATGATTCAATGATAGTTCCTGGTCACCATCACTGAGACTAAATCCCCACTTATATTTTTCTCCTCAATCTTTGTTCTCCATATTTTTTAAGAATTCACTTATGGGATATGGGCATCACTGGCTGGAATAGCATTTACTGCCCATCCCTAATTGCCCAAAGGGCAGTTAAGCATTAACCACATTGCTGTGGGTCTGGAGTCAAATGCAGGCTAGCCCAGGTAAGGACCCTATAGGACATTAGTGAACCATTATCCCTGACAATCAACAATAGCTTCATGGTCATTAAACTTTTATTTCCAGATTATTATTGAATTCAAATTCCACCACCTTCCATGGTGGGATTTGAACGCAGGTTCTCAGAGTCTCTGAATTAATAGTCTAGTGATAATACCACTAGACCATCACCCCTTTCAACTCCCCCCTACTTGGACAATGAAGGCTATCAATTTAACTGAGACAACATGACCATCCTAGCTCACACCAACCACAGACGCACAGGGGAATTCCTAGGGGCCTGGTTTCCAACCCATAAAATCAACAAACATGTGAAATTACACCCCATATACAAACCCATGCAGAACAGAACCGGAAATGACACATCTCAACTTAACAGAACGGATCATATAAATTCCAAGCGGAGTAGAACAATATCGCTTCATTGGAGGCCGCACTGATGACATTACCTAGCATGGTGACGAAATGTCTGTACGATTACCAGCCCGCTCGGTGAGCAAGCTAACAACCTCATCAAATTTTTATTTCAACTGAATGGATCTACTCCCCCTGAGCCATCAGAGAAAGCTTTAAGAAAGCTACTGGAACAATGTTTATGAGATTTATCCATTTCATCCCTCTTTTTCTTATCTCCTATTCCATTCACCATTCACAAATTACATATGTATCAGACATGATGTGGGCATCATTGCTGAGTCAGTGACCATCCATCAACACTTGAATTGTGACAGATGAAACGTGACAAATTCTATTTGAGATATTAATTCTGTATTCAAGTTGGTAAATAAATGGGATGGTTTGAGGAACTGAGTTGACAATCATATTCACAATGTCAATATTTTACTGGCTCTGGCTCCAATACCAAAAAGTATATGTTCATCTAGATCAGCTGAAATCAAATGAGTTTTGCCTGTGCAATCTATGAAATGCTTTAATTGTGCCACTAATGTTTAAGGTGCCAAGTAATTAAGGCACATTATCAGACACAGAGCCAAAACTTTATCACAATCCTCTGACTGTAATTGTCCTCCTACTGTAGTTTGTGCACTGAACACCTGGTGATATTTCCATACTTTCCAGGGCCCCATTTGAATTGGGCCATTGGTTCAATGTAGATGTGAGAGAAGTAATGCCTATTTGGAGGTAGTGTTACCCAGCTACATTATGAGAATTCTTGGTAAACATTGCAAGTGCTTAAAGCAGTGTAAGAATTAATTGCAAGCAAATGTAAGCCATAGTGTGAATAGATAGAACAATTATATTTTTATATGAGCTGAGCTGGACAGTTACTTCTAGTTGTTTCCAGATATGTTTTCACCATTCTCCAAAAGCGGCTCACCAAGACTTCAGCAATGCACACTGCCAAAAAAGGCCCAGCTTCTCTTCCTCACCTCCTCAGTGATTTTCAATGTTGCCTTTGGAAATGCACCATTCTTTTAAGGGCTGCTGGATTCAATCACGGTATTCATTTACCAAAGCAGCTTATGTTTCAGAAAACCAGCAAACCATAACATCTGACTTTCAAGCTGCTGCAGTACTTGAGTTCTAGGTGTACGGTATCACCAGATTTCACATCCACCAACCTGCGAGCTGGCAATCAGGGCATTACCAGTGCCAGGAACTCATCAGCATTTTGGTTATGAGAGAAAACCAGGAAATATGCACAAAGGAGTGGTGGCTGTCTTTCTTGCAGCATCTCTTACTGAGAGTACATCTGGGCACCACACCTTAGGATGGACCATGATGTAGGTTTACGAGAACGTTATCAGACTTCAGGGGTTGAGAGGTAAACGTTTGTTAAGCAAAAAGTATTAAGGGATGTATGCCAAATACAGGCATCTGGAGTTAAGCCATAATCCCATTGAATGATGAACAGGCTCAAGGGCTTGAATACCTGCTTGCGTTCCTATGTTCCTCCCTCCCCTGAACAATGCTGATTCTTCCAATATCGGCTGGACAGGAGCCAGGAATTAAGTCAGGAGAGTGAAGATTGGCAGGAATGGGGACATACTGGGGTGAACATTATCTGGGGAGAAGGTGGTGAATGTGAAAAAATCAACACCAGGGTGCAAACTGCCAGGAGGTGAGGGGTAAACATTGTCAGGGATGAGGGAAGGCTAAGCACTGGTGGGATTGAGAAGTTGGTCAGCATTGCAAGGAGGTGTGGGGCTAAGCGATATCAAACTAACAGGGCTATCAATGTTGGGGAGAATGAACATTTTAAGTAGTGAGGAAAATAATGGAAATTACATGTCTACAATTTAAATACTTCTTCCAGGTTATGAGACCTGCACCACTGAAAAATGTGTGGTCAACCAGGAAGCAGATTCTAGTTCTGAGTTCCGACGAAGGGTCAGCAGACCCGAAACATTAACTCCAATTTCTCATTAATAAAATTGTGCAAATTTAAAACTGGGAATTCAACCTATGTTGCTCTTATTAGTATGGATGTTAATCAAAGTGGAGCTGGTACAATTTGAGATCAACAATCCTCTTTAGAGACTATTACTGCAATCCTTGTTAAATCACACTCAGTCATCATTGAAATGAGGAGGGGTTTTCACACAGACAATAGTGAGCCTATGACTTGTGGATCAAGCTCTAAAGGGAAGAATGGCCTACACCTGGTCCTATTTTCTAAGCTTCTATCATAGAAAGAAAACATCATAATCTGATGAGGGGATTTGAGTTTATAATTAGCAAATATCTTTTGGAGTTCCTGAAGATAGTATGCACATTCAATGCAGACTTTCATTTGTTGCAAAGAAATCTGCACTTGACAGAAAGAGAAAAATCTGAGTTGATCTTGCCTTTTCATAACATAATTAAAAAGAAGATTAAGTCACCAACTGTCTATTCATTACACTAAAAAGGTAAATAGATTTTGATATTTTAAAGGTGTGAGGGAGGCCAATTAACAGCCAATATGGAGACCCTCATCCTGCCTTTGCTGATTTTTACCTGTGCGAGGGGAACCCTCACACCATTCAAGGAGCCTACCAGCTGTAGCTACACAGGCTGGGTTTAAAACACTGGGGTGTCTTTTTAAACCAATATAATCTATTATTGTTGCAGTTGAATTGAATCTCTCAGAAACTAAATGTTTGAATTTTACCTGTAAACATGAGCTCTCTAGAAATAGGAAAAAAAAACAAAAAGAAACTCAAATTTCACCCACATGTCCCAGAAAACAGTGCATTAAAGTCAAGTTAACATCCAGTTCTATTAACATTAGAATCTCAAAACCATCTGACACAACCAGTTTGGCTGGCATCCCATCCACCACTTCCAGCGTTCACTCCCTCTACCAGCAATATGTACTCCCTAGAAGATGCACTGCAGAAGCTCCACAAAGTTCTGCTTCCAAATTTCAATGCCAGTTCCCCAGCAAGAAACAGAGGCTGGGTTACTAAGTATTTGCCAGGCTGAGATTGATTTTTTTTTCTCCTATCTGTATAGGCATCAAGGTTTATTGGGAAGAGACAAACAAGTGGAGTTCAAGATTATCAGATAAAGTCCCACACAGCTAAAGATAGAAGCCCACTGAATTGAAGGGAAATTATGGATACGGATAGGAAATTGGTTGAATGGCAAGAAACAGTTAGAATAAAGGGCAAGTAGCCACATCCTACCAATTTGAAAAGAGGTGTCCTGCAGGGATCTGTATTGAATAATTGAGGCTCCACAATCTTCATTAGTAACTTAGATAATTGCCTAAAATGTCAAAACATCCAAATTTACTGACAAAATTGGACAATGTTGTAGACAGTGTTGACAACAGCATAAAATTCCATAGAATATTAATGGATCAGGTGAAAGGGCAAAACTATTGCAGATGAATTTTAATATAAACAAGTGAGGTTATCTATGTTGGATCAAAAAATGGATAGATCAGGGATTTTTTTTTTTAAAAAAAGACAGTGGATGTGGAGGTTTCAGGTGCATAGCTCTTAAAAATGTCACAGGCAGGCATATAACATAGTCAAGGCAGCTATTGGAATGCTGGCTTTCATATTTAAAGGGCTGGGATTAGGAATGCAAACATTACACTGCAATCATAAAAACCCTAGTCTTGTGTGCGCAGGTCTGATCACCACATTAAATGGCACAGCAGATTCAACAGGCTAAATATTGCTTACTTCTGCTTGTATTTCTTACAGTCCCTACACTGTTCCAGTTGTGGAACAGTGACTATTAACAGGCACAATGTACAAAATAACTTACCCACTTTCATTTGGAACAGAACAGCTGGTTCCACTTTATTGCTTAAAAAGAACAAAGTCACCCTCAACGTCAACTGATCAATGAAAACCACCAAATTTAAGGCTTCCACAAAAATAAGACAGGCAGAGGAACCTAAAAATGTAGCAGACACCGCTCTTACAATTTAGATCTTAGAAAGACCACAGGAGTTAGAAGAAAATGTAAAAGTGTAAAAAGCAGAGGAAAAAAATTGAAATCATGCACAACTCAGTAACAAGACAGTTTAAATCTTCATATTCAGAGGAGATGAATAATTACTGATTGTTTTAATTGATAATAAAATGCATTAATTTTCATACAAAACCATTTAAAGCAAATCCAGCAGAAAACAACTCAAATCACAGCTGGGAAAGTATCAATATTCCATATCGTTTCTGACAGTGCACCTCTTAAGACCAGAGGCATGACAAGCATTTGCAATGATTGAAACAATACTGGAGAGAAAAAAAAATGAGAAAATGCTCAGAACTCAGTTCTGAAGAGGAGTCACGACAGACTTGAAATGTTAACTCTCTCCCCACAGTTGCTGTCAGGCCAGTTGAATTTCCCCAAGTGTTTCCCTGTACTCCCTTACTGATTCATAAAATTCGGTTATGTTTCTCAGAATCACTATAGAGAAAGATTTGCAGTATTTGCTAATGTTGGGGAAACTCAGCTGACTTCTATCCAGCTGCACTTCGGATCAGATTCACACTCTGGACAGACACCCATGTATTACAAACAGGTTTGTTTTGCATACTGATACAGGAGGGGATCTGTGACAAAACAATTACAGAAGGCTTTGTACAAAATAAAATGGTAGATTACTCAATGTAAGAGAAGCACAACAAAACAATTAATTCAGTAGCACAGGCAGACGTTTTCAATATGTTGAGAGTTGACAGTTTATCCTGTAGTTTAAAAGACCCATTCCTTAGTAGCAATAAGATTTCCAATTGTCCACATTCAGTTTATCATCTTGTACCAACAAGCATGAAGTTTGGCTTGACTACTGTCCTGCAGTATGTTGGTCTCAGTGAACTTCATATACTATCCAATTTACTTAGGACAAATGGAGCTGAAAAACAGAGGACATGATTTAACATAATTGGCAGCATAACATCTAACAGAGGCAATTATGGTAAGGTGGACAAGTTGAGTTTAATGACTACATTTGGACCTTTTGTTGCAGTACTTGTACATAAACATAACTTGGAAAAATCTAATGGTTAACATGCCAAGAGCACAGGCAATTCATTTAGGCAATGGATCCTACTGACCCCAAGTAACATGATGAAAGATGAAATAGTGAGATTTCTCACCTTACTGTATTAATTTATTACCACAGAATGCAACAATTATTAGAATGATACCATTATGGATTTGGAAATTGTTGACACTCCATGTAATTTCTGAGCAGTCAGATCGCAAGAACCTCAGATGCTAGACTGTCAATACAGTGTGGGGCTGGAGGAACACAGGAGGTCAGGCAGCAGAGGAGGAGAGTTGACATTTCAGGCACAGACCCTTCATCAGGGCTGAGAGGGGGTAAGGGACCTAGGAAATAAATAGAGGGAAGAGGGGTGGGGGGGGCTGGGGAAGGTAGGTGGGATAGCAATAGGTGGATGCAGGTAGGGGCTAGTGGGGATTGGTCAGTGGGAAGGGTGGGGCAGGGAAGGAGATGGACCGGCTGCATCAGGTCAAGGAAGCAGGGATGAGGTGGGGATGGCATGAGGCGGGGATGGCATGAGGCCAGGGACAGGGAGATTTCAAAACTGGCGAATTCTTTGTTTAGGCCATCGGGCTGTATGCTCCTGAGGCAGAATATGAGGTGTTGTTCCTCCAGTTTGCATGTGGGATGACCTCCCCCTACCCCCTCAAGGCGGGGGGGGGAATATTCCCGCTAGGCCTGGGAGGGCCGCGACACCCCCGCGCCCTCCACCACATAGTACTCACTCGCCCGCAGGATGGCCACATAAATGAGGAAATTGCGGAGCGAGCGGAGCACGTCCGCCCGCATCTTCTTGCGCAGTTCCTCCGGGTCCATCTTCGGGCCAAGCGCCTCCATCCTGAACATGGCGACACCGGGCGGCTGACCCTTCACCGATTTACCCCGCCCACTCCACACTCACACGTGACCCGCCTGCTTCCAATCAGCTGGAAGAGCAGGCGCGCCAATGGCGGCTCCGGACGTCAGCCCTCTGACCCCGCCCCTTCTGGGTCACGTGACAGACCACGGAAATGGGTGGTCCCGCTCCGATGCTGGACCCACGTGAGTTAAGTCTGAGAGCCGGGACAGAACCGACTCCGGAGCGAGAGCCGGGACCCACCGTGCTCCTCTTCCCCCGCACTCCCTACCCTGCTCCTCCCCCCCGGATGAGGAAAGTGAATGTAAATAGCCAGTAGACAAGACACAAAAATAAGTGGGAAGGCAAATAGTGTGGGCGTATAAAAAAAACAAAGTTGCTGGAAAAGTTCAGGAGGTCTGGCGGCATCTGTGAAGGAATGACATGCTGAGCTTTTCCAGCAACTTCTGTTTTTGTTCCTGATTTACAGCATCCGCAGTTCTTTCGGTTTTTATTTAGTGTGGGCATATAAACAGGTTAAGTGATTGGGCAGGAGCTTGGCAGTTGGAATATAATGTGGGAAAATATGAGGCTACTTTTGCAGGAAGATCATAGCATCCCATTCCCCTATAACCCACCTGATCTACACACCCCTGAACACTATGGGGCAATTTATCATGGCCAATCCACCTAACCTGAACATCTTTGGACTGTGGGAGGAAACCCACGCAGACAGGGAGAATGTGCAAACTCCACACAGTCAGCCAAGCGTGGAATTGAGCCCATGTCCCTGGCGCAGTGAGGCAGCAGTGCTAACCACTGAGCCACTGTGGAGGAGATGAATATTATTTAAAAATAGAGAAAGATTAGAGAAAGCTATTACAGTAACCAGTAATGTGTAAGCTTTGAAATATATTACAGTATTTCCATTAGAGAAAGAGCCATAATGCATTCAAAAATGTGGAAAAAATGTGTTGTAAAATGCTTTCCAATGTGGTAACACTGGGATTTAAATCTGCAGCCAACTCTGACAGAAAAATAATGGCAAAATTTGGACATTTGAACAACCTTAACACTTGCTCCCCTCCATTGATTAGAGACAATCTGTTTAAATGCAGATGATACAAATTCTTCTTTCAATTTCAGCCTTTGGAGTTGGGATGGTAGTGTTTTAAAAACTGTAGCCAATATGAATGCTTGGCTGAGTTCCAACACTCAATTGGCAGTTGACAGCTCTTCAAGGGGCTGACTGACAATTTTATGAAGTTGCGATAACATTGTGTATCAATGGTAATATGTTTGAACTAGAATTTTAATAGATTGTCAAAGATTTTTTTCTTTGCAACTGCCTTTAAACTAATCCCTACACTTACACCACCCTTCTCACCTCCGTCCAAGGCCTCAAACAATCATTCCAAATCCAACAGGGATTCACCTGTACATCTTCTAACCTGGTCTACAGCATCCATTGCTCCAGATGTGGTCTCCTCTACATCAGAGAGACCAAGTGCAGACTCGGTGACCGACTCGCGGAGCATCTGCATTCTGTACGCTCCATTCAATACCACCTTCTGGTTGCCCTCCCACTCTCTTGGTGACATGACCATCTTGGGCCTCCTCCAATGTCACAATGAGGCCACACAAAAATTGGAGGAACAACACATTATATTCCTTCTCAGCAGCTTACAGCCCAATGGTCTCAACATAGAATTCACTAGCTTCAAAATCTCCCCACCCCTAGCCCCATCCCATGTCCAGCCCTCCCTTTCATCACCACCTCCTTGACCTGACACAATCTGTCCATCTTCTTTCTTACCTTTCCGCTCCACCCTTCCCTCTGATGAAACTCCACAATCCACCTATCACCATCTTACCTACTTTCCCCCAGCCCCACACCCCCTTCTATTTATTTCTGAGCTCCCTTCCCCCTCCCCGGTCCTGATGAAGGGTCCCAGCCCGAAACATCAACTTTCCTGCTTCTCTGATGCTGCCGGACTTACTGTGTTCCTCCAGCTTCACTCTGTATTGACTGCATTTAAACTAATTTTGAATGTCTTGCATAGCCTCTGAGGATTGTATGTAGTGGATACAGGGTGAATGGCCATGACAGATAAGGGAAGACCATGGGTGTGTGTACATGAGGGTGAGGTTTCACATTTTAAAACGTGTTGGGAGCAGGGCTGGAGTCTTCAGGAATAATGGTAGTCCTTCTAACCAGCTTGCCTTTGCACCCAGCAAAAAAAAATCCTGCAAACACAAATCTTGTGTGGAAGAACAACAATCCCTGGCAAAATCCCATGTGTTTGGTGTGCAATTTTGGGGAAGGTAGGAAAGTGGACAAATTGGGTTTTCAGAACCCATATGAAAGTCCAAGCCCAAGTTTGAGATCCATAATTATGGTACGTTTGAAGCCATGTATGTTTTTTCAATTGTGCTACAGGGACTACTTGTGAATATGCAGCTAATCTATGTAGTTAGATCTTGAATTACAAAGGTGACTTTGAATATGGGTTTACAATCACAACAGCTCCTTCTGCTCTGTATCCTGTCTCCCTCTGCTGAGCACATCATGTAACTGTTGTAGTAGGCAAAATGTAAACAAGAGAATAGAAACTCTTTGCAGAATTTCATTTACCAACTTGCAATGTGCTTGTTACTGCAATCCTGCATCTGCTTTTGCAATCCAGCGCACAATTTCACACAGATGTTGATCTTATAATGAGTGCATTAACCTTGAAAATATGTGCATTTGTAATTGGAAATTCTGCTCACCTATGGCTCGGATAGTACTGAGAAATGAGTGACAATTTGCAATCAAAGACCACATTATCCTCTTGGTGAAGAGATGGCTCCAGGAGAGAAGTTTATTTCAGCTGTAAGAGGTGTAAGAGGCTCAAATTGTGGTCTCTTGTTCTGCCTGCGCCCCACAAGGAAAAAAGTTAGATTTGCTGTAAGCATTCTTTCAAACCTACATTATTTTAAACACTTCAATAGCATTCTGCAACTCCAAACAGCAGCTTGACCAACAGAGAATGGATTGTAAGGTTAAATCAGCCCATTTTATTGGGTAAGTATTAAATTAACAAATTTGTTTTAGGAATCTGTAGGGAAATGGTAATGGATGGATCCCATTTTATGGTACATTCCCTTGTTTTTGATAGGTGGGAGGAGGGGAAGGCCCCAGCCACCTTTGGAGTGTCCTGAGAGGAGATTTCTGAAGGGCTTTTTGTGTGTGGTTCCTCCTCTGGTGGGCTATCTCCGGGCAGCACTTTGTATCCTGGTGAGGAGGGGGTCATCTAGAGTAACCCCATCCCCACGTCGCCATGCTTCAGGCCTGCTGACCAGTGGCTGGGGCAATGGAGAGTGGGCGCATGCGAGAAGATCCTGAGGGGGCTGGGCCTGCCTTTCCTTGGCAACCGCTAATTTGTCCGTGGACGCAGTTAGAATGTTGCAGGAATCGCCGCAGCTTCTGGTAAATTGGGGCCATTCCCTCCCACACACCTCTCTTCTGCTGCTGCTGTTCCTCCCAGTTCATTGTGGTCAAAGTCCCTGATTCCCTGCACCACTGGGTCCTCTCCTGCCAGGGGCTGTGCAGGTGCCTGGTCTCTGCCAGCCCTCTGAGAGCCAGCGACCTGCATTGTTACGGTGAGGCACTCACCAGCTTGTGCTCCCACACTTTCTAAGGCCAACATTCCCATTGAGGTGCCTGTATCTGGGCTGGTGGGAGGTGCAAGGAGGCAGCCTTGCCAATACTTCCCCTGAGGGCTTGTTTCTTTTGCCCTCTGAGGGTGAGGTGCTGGGGAGTTGACTGTTTCTCTGCAGAGCTGGTGGAGATGCCGACAGGATCTGCAAGATAAAAGAGAGAGATAGCAGTGCGGCTGCTGGTTAGAGGTGGAGTGCAATGAGTGTGACTGACAGCAGGGTTCCTGTGAGAAGTGAAGTGGGATGAAGGGTGGGATTTAGTCGGTCGGTGGGACCTGGTTGTCTCAGCAACCCTACAGGTGTGGTCCTGGTCTCCCCCTGTGAAGGGCAGAATTCTCTCCTCTTAGGCGTTGGGTAGTAGAACGTCAGACCACCCTCCGTCAGTCCAAGTCCTTTTTGCCCTGTTATTCTTATCGTTCATTCACAGGAAGATGGTGTTGCTGGCCGGGCCAACATCTACTACTCATCCCTAAACACCCAGAGAGCAGTTAAGAGTCAACCACATTGCTGTGGTTCTGGAGTCACATGTAGACCAGACCAGGCAAGCATAGCAGTTTCCCTGAAGGACGTTAATGAGCCAGATGGGGTTCCCAACAATCAACAATCACCACTAGACTCTTAGCTTCAGACGTTTTTTTATTGAAATCAACTTCCACAATGCAAACCCAGGTCCCCAGAATATTACTTGGGTCTCTGATTAACATTCCAGCGATATTACCACCAGGCTGATGCCTCCCTTATATGGCTATGTTCTCCTGGAATGAGAGAAAGGGAGGGGAGATGCTGCAGGCAATAGTGAGAATGGTGAAGAATGAGGGGAGAACAGAGATAGAGTGAGTGTGAAATGGCAGCAGGAAGAGTGCAGCACTTAGCTTGCTACAGTGGACAATGTCACTAACAAAACAAAGAACATGCGCTGACACCTGATAGCTTTCTAAACAAGAAAAGCCTTTAGCCTCTGCGCTTTCTTGTAGCACGGCTGGCCATTCCTTCGGATGGTGGTAACCCACATGGCACTGACCCACATGGCAATCTTTTACTAGAGTGGTCCCTCAACTGCTCTGGGACCCGTGCCAAACAGTTGCCATGCCAATGCCTTGACTTCTGGTTCTGGAAGTTGTTGCTGCTCATGGACCTTGGAGGTCTGCTTGGAAGGGGAAAAACAAAATATCAGCGGGAATGCTGCAGCTTCCTCTTGTGTCCTACGGGAAGATGGATCCTCAACCAGGACCTTAAAGTTCCTTTCGGAGAATCGCCATGCCAACTTCCCGACGTGTTCAGACTCTGTCCTTGATTAAGATGGGCTGCTTTGGAATGCCAGTGCTCATTCAGGTGGCCTTTTAAATATGGCATAGCTGCCGGGGATACTGGTCTTTTGACGGATGTACG